TAATCACGAGATCTGATCCCGTGCCCAATATCACGCGGATCGGGATCTACGTGATGACGTAGTCCAATTCCATGCTATCATAATGAATACATAAGGTAGACCACCATTTAATAGATCTATCGAGTGACAGACACTTATACGTGCGTTTATAAATAAAGTTCAACTATTCCAAATTAATACAATTAATTTCTACTAAAAGTAATAGATATGCATACAAGTATGTGTTGTTACGATAGTAGGGGATTTTTTTGGGGGAGGGAGGTAGACAAAATCCCTTATCCATGAATATTATAAGATACATTGCTAATCTCTATAATAAATAAATATTAAGTATTATATATAAAAATTACGACCCCCCCCATAATAATATACCCTCCCCATACAAAAGACCCCTGGTTCTGAATCGATTCTCAGAGTATCGGTATCAAATCTTGGATGATTTATGCAGCAGATAAATAACCCAGTTTTTTTATCGTTTCCCAACAAAAAATAATTAGATGGGTTGTTGTAACAAGATATAAAAAAAGGCCTTCTTTTCTTTTATAATTCACTTAGCAATATAATATGTTACTGTGTAAACATTCTTTTCTTAATGATATTCACGTTTTCTATATTATATTTCTCGCACTTTATAACAATCTAAACAATTTATTATTAACGATTTTCATATCCTCTTCTGATCTATTATTAATACGTAAGTTTCAAACCCACCATATAAATATATCAATACATACACACACACACATTCTCTAATTACTAGAAGGAAAAATTCACCAAATTGATGACAGACTGTACTACTGCTCGATTAAAATCTCAACCACAGCTACAATTACAAATGCTACCGCAGGGGCATCAACGGCGTCCTTCCGGCTCAACAACGTTTATAAAGCCACATTTCCCACCAAATCTTACTCCAAGGGAATTAATGGCAAATGCTGAAGAAAAACTACGAAAAACCGGTCAATTGACTAAAACACCTAACGCATTTTTAACATATCGAATGGCGCTACAAAAAGAATTCGCAACCCTTAATTTATATCCAAACATGCGTGAGCTGTCAACAGCAGCTGGTAACGCTTGGGAAAGAGAACCTGAATACGTGAAGGCACATTATAATCGTTTGATGCTTGAAGCTAGAGCTTTATTTCAAAGTGTTAGTCAAGCTGCCCTCCCCTTACAATTTGTCCACGTAAATCCAAATAATTCAAGTAATCAGAATCCCCATTATCGGACACCATATGGTGACGTTGAAGAGAATTGGAATACTTCGGAGATTAATACGGATACCAATGAAAGATCACCTTCTTATATTAATCTAGCCACATCAATAAACTCCGCATCAATGCACTCTAACTCACGCTCTTCTACCTCAACATCTACATTCATGGGATATAATCAAAATTCATCTTCTAATGAAGATGAAATGAATTCGTCAAATTCGTTTCATCTTTCCGATCCAACGCCACCAGCATCCGGATATCAACAACTCGATTATCTTGCTGTATGCAATGAAGCAAATTGCACTTCATCTGCATCTTCTCTGACCCTTTCGAATGGTCCATCGATATTTCATTATCCACAACAGCAGCAAATTCATAATGTTGATACATGTAGCAACACTGATAATAATCAAAACAACAATAATAATAATGCTACTGCAGCAGCAGCTGTTGCCGCTCTTTCCGTGAATTTAGAAGAAAGGGTTATTGTTCTCGAAAGATTAGTTTCACTTTTATTGGCTGAGCGACATGTTCAACGATACTGACGCAAGAGAGAAAAAAGTGGTTTTGCCTGCCTATACACAACCAACCACAGCAAAACATATTCAATCGTTTATTCCTCTTTTTTTTTTTTTCGATAAAATGCTACATATATAAATCAATAACAAACAAACGGACGGACGAACGAACACACTCACACACACTCACACGAGGGAAGAAAAAAAGTCGGGATATTTCATAAACTTTTTACTTGGATACATACAAGTTCTCACACTACACCAACATCGTGAAATAAGAACAAACATTTATGCAATTAAGTAATAAATAATAAAGACGTTAATTTTATCTCACCAGGGGACAGTATTGTATGTCCGCCCTATATAAGACGGGACGGACGTGGACACCTGGGACATTGTCCAAAATGTTTACGTCAACATATGTTCTAACCAATCGGTTGTCAGCGGGACATGTCCCACCAAATATTCATGCATGTCCACATGTCCGCAATGTCCACCAATCGGTTATTAAAATTTTCCATGTCCGTACTTATGTACATGCATATGATTGTATCCATTAATAGAAATTTGGATTATACATGTAGCGGTAGTATCCGAATTTTGAAACTTAATCGAATACAATAGCGATAATGATAGATTTTTTATAATTTAA